CAACTGAGCGTCCTTTTGGCTTTGGCCCAGCCACTTCACTCTTTCTGGGGTTACTTGTACTTGCCCTCTGCTCTTCCCCAGTAGCATATTGGACACCTTCCAACCTGAGGGGCTCATCTTCCGGCGTCATATCTTTTAGCCTTTTGATACTGTCCATGGGGTTTTCTTGGCAAAAATACTGGAGTGGGTTGCCATTTCCTTCTCCAGGGGATCACGCTTGGTCTGAGTTCTCTGCTGTGGCCTGTCCGTCTTGGGTGGCCCTTCACGGCATAGCCCACAGCCTCATCGAACCACGCAAGCCCCCTCGCCATGGCAAGGCAGTGATCCATGAGGGGGCTTATCTGCTGTAGAATAACTTTAAACACTTTTTTTTTAAAAAAAGAGATGTTTTATCAGACTAGTCCCATAAAACTCTTTGAGGTGCCCTCAGCACTTTTGAAAATCTTCTTCCAGTGGACAAAATGAAGAATTCTGAAATATTTCCTGCAGGATCTTTTCCCCATACTTGGGATCTGACATCTTTCAGGTTCTTTTGTGTGTGGATATTTTTAATTTTATTTTGAAGATGTAACATAGCGCATATCACAGTAAAGAAACTACACAGTAACACAGTAAATTGGGAGAAGATATAAGATAGAATTATTACAAATATTAACTCAAAAACACTTGCATAACAAATACCTTTTTACCTTGGCATCAGCCAACATATATTAATCTGTATTCAAAGTGGAATAGGAGTTATTAAAGAACTGTATTTCAAAATATAACCATTGTTTGTCTTTAGTAAAAGAAGGGACCACCTCCCTTTCTGAAAGGAATTGAATAACTGGGAACCACTTGCACACGAAGGGCGTCTGATAATCATTGCTTGAGTTATTGGTTATTCCATTTCCTATTTTCCCCGTGATGAACTGCATCCATATTTTATCATGCCACAAATCTAAAGAGGGGCCTGTAGTTGATTTCCACCTGGCAGCAATGGTGAGTCTAGCTGCCGCTATTAGAATGGAAATTATTTCCTTCATTTGTTTTGGCGGGGACGGTTCTGGCCATTGTTCCAGCAAAATCAGTTCAGGGTCAAAGGGAATCGATATATTGGTTATCTGGCTTATTGTCTTGGTTATGACCTTCCAGAAGTTCTGAATGACAGGGCAATCCCACCAACAATACCAGAATGTCCCAGGCAGACCACAGTCCTTCCAGCATAGTGGGCTGATTGCTTTGTTAATGTTATGCAGCTTTTGGGGAGTGTAGTACCAATGAGTTATCGTTTTAAAAAATTGAAATTGACTCAGAAATCTTAATGCTGGACAATTCTGCTTGTAAAAAAATGGCAAAGAGATCTAAGTAGAGAACTTCCAGAATTATTCTGGCAGCGGGTATGGTGAACTTCTTCAAATAATTCAAAGGTCTTTAATATAAATCTTCCAGGTTCCAAGGAGAGGACTGGGGTCTTTTTAACAAAATAAAATTTATTGAGATCTACTGAACACAATTATAAATACATCAAGTAGGAGCTGTAAAAGTACATAAAACTGGAAGAGCTCCAGCCCCGAAATGACAGGCTAAGCGGCCTCTTTGTGACTGGCTGTGCTTTTGAATAAAGGCCCATTTGGGTCCCATGATTGGAAGCGGCATAACGTTTATCTTCCGTTTTCTAGTGCAGCCCAACATCGGGACTGCGCTTGCGCAGGCCTGTTGCAGACATTTTCTTTCTGGCTTCTAAATGCCAAAATGGGGGTTTCTTGCACCTTTCAGAGCTGCGAATGCACTGGATTCCTGCCCAAAGCATGAGTTCCATTTTTGCTGCCACAAGGATAAGAAGTCTTTCTAGTACACTCTGTTGTTTTGTTGGTGAAGAGATTAGACTTATTTGCTACTACAAAAAACTGTTCATTTTACAGTCTTGGATTGTCTATTTAGCAGGAGGGAAGCCTCATAACAAACAGGGATCCTCCTGCTCATTGTGGTTGTAGTCCCTCGACATGGCATCCAAGGCACTGTTCAAAAAATATTCCAAGTGTGGAACGAAAATGACACACAGTAACAAGCATGAGTGCTGCTTCCTGTACTTGGGAGGAGTCAGCACTTTACCCGATAAAGGTTCGATGGGACGGGGCCCATATGCTGAAAGCTGCACGGTGGGAGAAGGCTTTGTCCTCCTCAGTTCCTTCCAGAGCCATTTCAGCTTCGTGATCGACTGCCTTGCGTCTACTTCTCCTGGCCTCTGGCTACTCAACCCTGGTCTGGCCCACTATCGATCCATTCGGTTCCAGCGACTGCCAAGATGACTCAATCCCTACAAAAAGGCAGAAATCAGATACCCGTGGTCGCTTTCTCTGGAACTATCAACTAAGGTCTGATCTCATTTGGAATCGCCTGCAAAAGAAATGAAGAAGACATTGAAGCATAAGGAGAAAACTGAGTCCGCACCCAAGTTGGCACACTCTTCTATGCGTGTCCCCCCCCCTCTCCTGAGCAAGGTTATAGGGGAAATGCTAGTTGATTGAATGGATGGGATCCTAGTCACTCTGTTCTGGCCTCACCAGATCTGGTTTTCAGAGCTGTTACACCTAGCTGGAGTAGACTACATACTGTCCCCCCCCCCCCCATAATCCCCCCCCAGATCTGCTGATGCACAGTCCATTACTGCATCAAGATGTAACAAGGCTACATTTGACAGCATGGAGGATCCGGCCTTGAGGCTCTCCTTCTCCAAAGGTGTTCTAGAAATCCTTCTGCAAGCCTGTAAACCAGGTAGTCTTGTGGCAGGAAGTGGACTCAATTTGAGTCTTGGGCCTCTGCTAGAGGGGAATGCCCTTTTACCTGCCCTTTGCCTTCGGTTTTGGTGTACCTGTTATTAGTAGGGGATGACCGTTTTCGCTCACAAACTGGCTCAGTGCTTCTTAAAGGGGCTGTCAAATGTTTTCCCCCTTATACCCAGTATTATTACACAGTGGTCTTTACTGTTAGCTTTGA